GAGAAAACTGAAGAGTTGAAAACGCCTCCGCTAAGTTTAAATGTTACCCATGATCACCTTCTCCTTCTCATCTCCCTCTCTCTCTCTCTCTCTCTCTCTCTCTCTCTCTCTCTCTCTCTTTGTGTCTTTGTCTCTGTATTATTCATAGAGATGTCAGTTGCAGGAACATGTTCATCAATGGTGGTATGGACAGCGTAGACGGAGAAGGTCTACTTGTTGCTATTGTAGGTTCACAGAGATGCCATCGTAGACGGCAAAGGTCTATTATTCATAGAGATGTCAGTTTTTTAGTTTTCTTAGTATTATCAAGGTCAGAAGGCACATATGCTGACTATTAATGTACGTAATTCTTATTAATGATATTTGTTTGTTGCTTTCGTCCTCCAAAAAAAAAAGAAAAAAAAATTTGTGGCTCACACACTTGATTGTGATATGTTGCCTTGTAGGAAAGGCCAGGCACAATTTGAATAATAAAATGATAAAATTATACCGAAAAAAAATGTAATTTAAGTAGGTGCCTCGATCCTCGTGCCACCAATCACGCATCTCGATGCATGATGGCCGAGGAGTCGATTTGCATTATTCAATATAGAATGAATGCACATGAAAATACAGCTAAAACCTAACTCCATCATGGATAATCCGGAGTGTCGGTGACTTGGAATTGAGACACGTTCCGTCACTCGGAGTACGAAACGTATCTCGTTTCCCGTGCTCGGGCTAACCCCTATCCCAAGCACGATGCAATATGCATGATATGCATGAAATGCAACTAAGATACAACCTAGCATACACAATGCTATGAAATGGCATACATGATGCGCTAATCATACAACCTAGCATACGCAATGCTATGAAATAAAATGGCACACACAATGCACAATGGGCTTACACCAACACAAGTGGACCTCAGCCACACTCACATAGGAGGCTATAAGATGAAAATGAGGCACTCGAGATGCGTGCACGCATGCCCGCAAATCGAGGACCGACCCTAAGGCACCAAATGCCACTCTCACAAGGCATGGCAAGGCATGAAATATGATATGCTAGCATGCAAATTTCAGAACTGAAATGTGACACAAAACAGCCCCGAATCATGACGATATAGCACCTGATGCATGAAATGGTCCCGAAATACAAGATTAAGCGCATGAAATGACTTGTAGCTACATCAAGCATGCATTATTTGCTTATTACATGTGAAGACAGATTCAAGGCAGCCCAAAAATAAGCATGTTTTCAGTTCTAAGAAAGGCCAAACAGCAAGCACAAATAGGGCAAAACTAGCATGCAAAAATGGCCCTAAATGTGAGATAAAGAAGTGAGTCACAGATTCAGACCTCAAACAGATTAGGGCCCTTCAACAATGTTGGAGAGGGGCCCAAAATATGACCTTTTACAGTTTACAACAAACCCCAAAAGCCAGAACAGGTATGGCTAAGATCTCATGCAAGAAAAGGGCCAAAAGATGGACAAAGAAGCAAGTAGTGATTTCTTGCCTCAAACACAAAGGGGCCCTTCAACAATGTTGAAGAGGGGAAAAAAATAATACACTTTGCAGTTGATGGCTGGACCCAAAACAGTATGCATGCAAGCCTAAAATACTACTCAAAATAAGGCCCAAAAGAGAGATATAACACAAAGAATATAAAGGATGCCCCAAACAGTGAGAGACCCTTAATGAAACATGAAGAGGGGGTCAAAATAAGGTCATTTGTAGTTCGGACCTCAGCCCAAAAATAGAAGCACAATAGGTTAACAAATCATGCAAAAATATGGCCAAAAGGGAGATATAATGGCAAGTAGCAAATGGAAGACTCAAACACTGATGATCCCTTCAACAATGTTTAAGAAGGGATCAAAATAAGCAACTTTATAGTTTATGACATGCCTCAAAACAGTTTATACATAAGCCAAAAATACCACACAAGGAATAGGCATACAAGAGGGGTAATGAAGCAAGTGCAACAAGGAGGCCTCAAACAGTAAAAAGGCCCTTAATGAAACATGAAAAATGGCTCAAAATAATCCTAGTTCCAGTTAGGGTCGGAGCCCAAAACAGTAAGCAAGAATGGCTTAGATAGGATGCAAAAATAAGCTAAAAAGAGAGAAAATGGTGCTTGCCCTTGAAGACCAAACTTTAGGCAACTCTTGGCTTGATTTTGGTGACTCTTTAGCTCTGGAAAACAACTTCAAACTGCTGCAATGGAGGTTGGAGGTATGGTGCTAGGTGGTGGTGAAGAAAAGGGTGTAGGAACTTGGAGGTTTTGGGCTTGGGAGTATAGAGAAAGAGAGATACAAGAAGGGAGCTTCAAGGGGAATTTTGGTAACCCTAAACCAGCAGCTGGAGCTGCTGATATAAAGGAAAAAAGGGGGGGAAAAAGGGAGGAAAAAATGGAGGGAAAACAAACCAAGTTTCCTTCCAAAAATGCACCCCCCGGATACACAATCTGGGGGGGGAAAGAGATGCATATTTGAGATATACCTGTAGCAAGGAACATGGCCGGCCAGTTTTCTTGGGCTTAGGTGGCCGGCTGGCCACCTCCTATGGCCGGCCGGCCAAGGGTCAAAAGGGTCAATCAACATTAGTGGCCGACCACCCCGGATTGGTGGCCTCCCATGTGTGCACAACACAACCATGTGGTCAAAAACTGGAGAAAGTAAACGAGGAGAGAGAAAAGCCCACTTTTTGGAGGGGTTCATAAGGGTCAAACATAATTAGTAGCCGACCATATGATATTGGTGGCCTCCCAAGTGTGTACAACACAAATATATGGTTTAGAGCTGGAAAAAGTGGCCTTAAGATGGTCAACATTGGCTTTCAAGTGAGAAAAACGGGCGACGGAGGGCGATGAGGAAATATAACTGGTTGCCGGAACAATTACTGGCCTCTCACCCTTCTACGACCTTCTTAATGATGAAACAGAGGTCCCTGCCAAAAATGAACCAAAACCGATGCAAAATGAAGGTTCAGGGGCCGAAACGTGCAGTCCGGGGCCCCGAAAACTGACTGTTAGGCACCGGGAGTGGTGTTCGACCACGAAGTTGGTCTCTTGGACCGCTGTGTCCCTAAAAAGGGAGCAAATAAGATGTATGCCAAAAACCGGGGCAAACGGAGGTGGTTAGGCGGTCCCGAACCGAGGCACACGGCCAACGGCTCCGAAAAATCGGAAACCGGACTCCAAACGGGCAAAATGGCCTACGACCACGAAATGTAGCCTACGGCCACTAAGAGATGATCTACGAGACCTCTTCCTCCCTTCGGGAAGAGAAAACAGAGAAAACAGAGCCTGGTTCGCAAACCGAGGCAAAGCATGAAAGAGTCCGAAAGTCCGGAGACAAGGCTCGCAGCCGAGACTCCGAAACCTCTGAACGAGCACGATATGCAACATCACCAAGCACTCAATTGGTGACGTCTGAGTCTTAAGGTTGGTCAAAAATGGGGTGTCTACATATAGCAAAGTTTGTGTCTTAGTGCCTAACATGTCAACAAGTAAGACTAAACACCAAAGACCGGCAAGAACACTTCTACCCTTACTAATCCCGGAGTGGAAATAGAAACACATAACCATGGATTTCGTGATGAGTTTGCCTCGATCACTACAGGGACATGACGGCGTCTGGGTAGTGGTAGATCGACTAACTATAAAATAGCTCAATTCTTACCTGTCGAGTCATCAGATATGTTAGATTCATTCAATAGATTTTTCATTAAAGAAGTGATCAGATTACACGGAATACCAGATAGCATCGTGTCAGATCGTGATCCTTGATTCACTTCTCAATTTTAGCAGAGCTTGCAGAAGACAATGGGAACGAACCTATGATTTAGTACGACATTTCATCCACAAACAGATAGGTAGTCTGAAAAGACGATACAAATCTTGGAGGATATGCTTCGAGCTTGCGTTGTGGATCTTAAGGGAAGTTGGGAGAAACAACTACCTCTCGTTGAGTTCGCTTACAACAATAGTTTCCAGGCTAGTATTGGAATGGCACCGTATGAAGCACTTTATGAGCGACCTTATCGATCACCAGTCTATTGGACTGAAGTAGGGGAAGCAACCTTGTTAGGACCAGACTTGGTTCAAGAGACCACTGAGAAGATAAAACTGATCAGACAACAACTAATCACAGGCCAAAGTCGACAAAAGAGCTATTGGGATCAAAGGAGATGACCCTTAATGTTTGAGGTAGGGGATCATGTTTTTCTCAAAGTTCAACCTCGTCGAGGTGCTACACGATTTGGGAAGAAAGGAAAACTTGCACCTCGTTATGTGGGACCCTTTGAAATTCTAAGCAAGGTAGGAGAGGTAGCATATCGTTTAGCATTACCACCACAGCTTGTAGCGGTGCACAATGTTTTTCACATCTCAATGTCATGGAAGTATGAGCCACACCTTTCCCATGTTATCAACTAGGGAGATATTGATCTCAATGAAGATGCTAGTTTTGAGCAAAGGCCTATAAAGATTATAGATCGACGAGAAAAGAACTTGAGAGGCAAAGTCATCCACTTGGTGCAAGTGTTGTGGCAGCATCGAGGAGTGGAGGAGTCTACTTGGGAAGTAAAGGATGCAATACGAGCCAACTACCCTCAGTTGTTTGAAGATAAAGGTACGCGTTAAAATTTCGAGAACGAAATTATTTAAGGGGGATAGGTTGTAAGAACCTGAATTTTCAAACAACGAATTAGTTTGTTAATAACAATATTAAGTCAATTAATAGTGATTATTAAATTATAATGTTAATATCATCATGATTAATACCAATATTAAACTCCTTTAAATAAATTTATTTATCTTTATGTGATTACATTTCTGTGTCTAAATACAGTTGTGGAAACTAAATGATTTAAACAAATAATAACTAAGTTAGTTAGAGGATAGTAGGGAGCAAAATATCTAGTGACTAGGTTATATATATACATTGATTTTTATTTCTTGTGCACACTGAAAAAAAATTAAAATTTAGATTTTTGGGCAGAGCATTTCGGCTGCCTTTTCTTCCCAAGGAGGCTGCTGTCAAGGCATGCCAAGGCAAGCATAGAAACATACATACTCTAAGCCTATACAAGTAGGTAATATTTCCCAAGCCAAGAGGAAAAAAAATTAAAATAAAATAAAATAAAATAAAAATAGGCCTCTAAACTCCTACAAATAGAACACTATCTCAACCCTTTCATTTCTATACACACGGTTGAGGAAAAAGAAAAAGAGAGGAGAAAAGAAAAGAAAAGAAAAAGAGAGAAAGAGGAGAGGGTGGTTGGTAGTCACCACTTCAAAACTAATCTTAAGAATAGTTTGTAAAAGCTCTTAAGGTAGGAATACTCAACATTTATCCTCCCTTAGATATTTTTTTTTACTAAATCTATATATTAAAAATATGTAAGAGTGTGCATTGTTAATATACACATAGCAAGAATAGCTGAATACATGTTTACATTTTGATAGAATAATAAGGGTAAATTATAACTTAACCCCTTGTGGTTTACTCAAAAAACATGGAGCCTCCCCATAGTTTCATTTTTAACACTTAAACCCCCATATACTTCATACCAAAGTATAATTTTGGACGGACGTAACAGAAATTATAAAAAGTCTAAATTATCCTTACAACAATGATTCATACCACTAAAAAAAGCACCACTAATAGCACTAATGCATTGGGAATACCAAAAAAAATAAAAAATAAGGCATAGGCCACTGCCACATCATTAGTGCTCCCTCTAGGGCTCCCATTTTAGTGCTCCCAACCATTTTTCATTACCCCTATTTATTTCTCTAATTTTCTTCTTAATGCCATTACAAACCACCAGTCAACAAACCGTACAGTCCGTTTGGTCTTGATAGTGGCAACGGCTACATTAACATCCTTTGGAACAACATCTCCACGATACATCAAGCAGAAAGCCATATATTTCCCATGCCTCAGATCACATTTTGCCATTATGCTTGTCGCCTCAAACACTGAATTTGTGATCTCAGGTATAGATAACTGCTCATGGTATGCTTTCGTAGTTGAAATTACAAGGGCATACGAGGAGAGCATGAAATGTATACGGGGATATCGTACAAGGTTCGTCTGGAACTCTATAACGTCTACTTTAATGGCCCCATCAAACCTTAAAGAAGTTGTCAAAGACGATATTATTTGAGAAATCAATCTGTTCAAATTGGTATAAGTTGGCCTTTCAATGTCTAGGGATCTCTGGCAAATATGAGAAATCAATCTGTTCAAATTGGTATAAGTTGGCCTTTCAATGTCTAGGGATCTCTGGCAGATATCGTAAATGGCTTCATTGTCCAAAATCACAGCCACATATGTGTGTTGGAGGAGAGAGTGCGTAGAAAGAACACTATTATAAGGCTCCACAACTGCAGTAGAGACCTGCAATGAACAAAGTTAGCTGCACCTCAATCAACAAAACCATAGCTTGAATGACAATGTTTCTAGTCACAACTTTGATGCACATATTGAGCAAAATTCATGCCATTTTTAACAAGTAGCGGAAGTGCTTTTCTTTTTTTTTTTTTCTCCAGAGGTGCTGATATTTCACTGAAACTCAATTAAAAAGAACAATAATTTTCAACTTCATGTTAACTAGCATTATTCTAGTTTTATGTTGATTAAAACAAATAATAATGCTATGACAGACGTCACTAAAATCATGACTAAGAAAGAAATAGATTTGGAGATGTTTCTTTGAAATGTGTGAAATTAGATTTCAGACAACTTTTGGTATGCCGAAACCACCCATTTCAGGAAGAAGTGAGAAAACGAGGTAGCGTCGGATGAAGTACAAAGCAAGGTGCGAAGATTGGTGAAAAAATGGGATAAAATCGTTAAGAATCGAGAAAATTATGGAGTCCAAAAGATGGGCCAAAGAAATGTCGGAAATGAGAAGAAAAAGTGGGTTTGGTTGGTATGAATCCCATCAATTCTATTTCAAAAATCTAAATGTTTACACATATTAATTGTTTGATTTCATGGGTTGGGTTTGTTACTAATTTGAATTATAAGAACAAGAGTGGGTTTGGATAATTTTTAGAGAGAGAAGTTGTGGTGGTGATTTTGAGTGGTGGTTTTGCATGGAATAAGAAGTTGGTTGTGGTTTTGCATGGAATATGATGGTGGTGATGTTGGTTGGTGGCGATTTTGCATGGAAGATGATGGTGGTAAATGAAAAGAGAAATAAAAGGTGATGGTGGTGATTTTGCATGGAAGGTGATGGTGTTGCATATTTGTATAATGAGGGAGAGAGAACCTGTATGATGGTCCAGGAGTGTAATCCATACTCTGTTGCACTACACCATTCTGTGTATATATATGGCAATAAGGGTGTTTTGGTCATTTGTCATATGTTTTTGGGCTAGAAAAACTGCTCCACTCACCAGTCATGGTTGTGTAACACACGTTCTGTTTAAACAAATAATTTTGTCCAAAATTGCACTTTGATATGAAGTATAAGGGGTTTAAGTGTTACAAATGAAATTATAAGGGGACTTTGTGTTTTTTAAGCAAACCACACGGGGTTAAATTATAATTTACCTGAATAATAATTTCATGATTATATGATTTTTATTCCTTCTTGCAAGCATAGATTATATGGTTTAGCTACTGATTTTATCTTCTAAGGTGTTCAAATATTCTCCATTGTTTGAAATAATCTTGCATTGGGGTAATATGAGATGAGGTTGGTTCACTTTTACTCGAAACTTATATTTTCTTCACTGTCTCAGATTTTATCAGAGGTAAAATGCTTTAATAAATTGAAAATAACTTGTGTCAAAAATCTGTTTGTATTGGGAGTATATATAGGTGTTCTATACATGTGTAAATTTTATAAAATCATTGGACCCCATTTTCTTACCGAAGTAAATATTTGTCCTAAGTGTTGTTCACAACACAGCAGAAACAATGACTTCAAACAGGTCCCATTTTCTTTGCAAATGGTATTTTTCTGTACGAACACTTCAGATAGTTAGATATAAGAGTTATCTTTCACGTGCCGCCAATTTCACAAAAAATGGATAAGTCTAAAAGGAGAAATTGTAGTTTTACTAAAATGCAACAGAATCTGTCCTATTTTCTTAGAAAAATTATTTGACCATCTTCCATTGGTTTTCAGTCTTCAAAATCTCGGGAAATATGTTCTAAACTCAAATATCTAGCAAGCTGTTCTGACCATGTCTCTTTTTGACACTGTTTGATGCCCCTTTTTATTTTTCAAACACAAATCACCTGTGCTGGAAGTTACTATAACTCACTGTCCCAGAAACCAGTTTTCTTCCAAATTTTATTTTAAAATCATTTTTAGCCCTGGTATTCTCTGTAAAATATTTTCCTAACTCAATGAACTAGTATCATTTAAAATATTGTAATAATTGAACTGCGTTTGATATGGGTTTCATTATTTTTAGTGTGACCATATAGTACTGAAAAGAAGAAGTGTGAGAAATTCATTGAAATTTTGTGATGACTCCTACGACATTCTATAATATTTACTTTGGTTTCCATACGTGATTATGTTGTGCTATATAAATGTTATGTCACTTTGGTTTGCAAACTAAAACTCGTACATGCATCAAAATGTGAATTTGACGAAGTAAAGAAACACGAAATTGAACCAATGCATTAAAGTTTAAAAGTGATGGGGTGAGCCCGGTTTAGAGTCTTGCGCAAGTGAGTTGCGAACCCTAACATGGCACGGGAAGGTATTTCAGCTCTTATCGGTATAGGCGATATAAGGTTGGTGGTGCGGGTGTCGCAACATAGACTGTTCCCTTGGGGTAGACTGTGATGTCACGACTCGGGTATGTAACCCTGGTGCGTGGGCATCATTAGTAGTTACGACAAGTAACATTTGAATATTTGACCAAGGGGGAGTCAGAATTGCCCGTGGCCATTACTTAGCGATTGAGTGGAAATAGTGCTCCATAGGGAGTTACTTAGATTTACCTGATAAACTAAATCTATGTGAATTTAAAAGAAAAGTTGGCATTTTCCTTATGATGAAATACTACTTTTGCTTGCCATTGTTCTTATTATCTATTGTTATTATTTCAACTGATAGCATTCCTGTTATGCTTATTAAACGTTGCATGTTATTCTGTTACTACACATTATTCATTAATTGTGAGTACTGTTATTGGGGTCGGTATTTTCGGGTTGTAGTATCTTATTGAGCTCGTTGCTCATTGGCATTCCCGTTGCCCTGACATTTTATGCTAGGTACCGAAGAAACCGAAGGAAATACCGAGGTCTTGGAAGGCGACATTTAGCCTTGGTTAGCTCGAAGTGTGCCTAAGTTCTATGAACCCTTTTTTTGAAATTTTTTTAGTGGTTTTTTTTTTTTTTTTTTTTTTATTCTAATCTAGTCTATTTTAACCCATTCCAAGCATCCTATTGTTTCTTATGATGCATTCAAAAACAATGATAGAGACTCCCAATTTTGAGGACACCCACATGTGATAACCCAACCCGTACTATGCCTCATTATGTATGTGATTATGTGTTTGATATGAACTTGCAAGTTTAAATATGGGAAATATGTGAATTTGGAATATCTGTTGCAATTGAAATTTTGAACTGAAATTGAAGGCCGTAGAGGTGAGATAAACAAAAACTGACTTTATAGTTATGATTAACATGATTTTTAGAGCCTTTGGTGAGATTTTGAAAAATTATGATTTGTAATGAATAAATTAAGATTTTTTAGTTAAGTTAGATATGTATAGCCACTTTTGTTCTTTATTTGTTGGGAGAGGGCTCCAAAGTGTGAGTTAGAGAGAGAGAAAGAGGAGAAAGCTAGGGATTTGAAGGGAATCAAGGGGCAAACCATAGATTTGAGTTAAGGTATGGAAATTTATTCACAATCTTTGTCTCTAACTCATCTTTGTCAAGAAATCATGAAGATATTAGGAATTTTGAGCTAGGGTTTTGAGTAGTGTAGTGACTTGGGCTAAAGGCATGAAATTGGACCTTAATCTCTACACCATTGTTTGATTTGAGTTCATTTTTACAATTGATCCATGAAACAAACCCTAGATGGTTCATACAAACAAAATTTGAGAGAAAATCATTCATGAATGTATGTATTTTGAACTTGTGTATGTAAACCATGAAATTATGAAAAGATGAGACCATGCAATTGTTGTCGATGCAAGATTGATATGTTTAATGTGGAATTACACTTGTATCATGCTTAGATATCATGTTTTTGAGTTGTTTTTGCATGAATTTGAGTTTGGAAATGAGTTTGGAAGGTTTGGCATTTTTGGCCATTTTCTGACTATCTGGGTGTGTCTAGACCGCTCGTACAGCCACGAGCTCCGCACGAGCGGCCCATACCTTGAACCAAAATTGGACAGCACTGTGCACTCAAGTGGTTGCAATTTCCGCACGTGCAAAGCCAGACCACTCGAGCGTTGGACCGGCCACACGTCCAGCCAGGCAGGGGAAAAAATCTTATTTTTTGTATTAACGCTCCCAATTTTCGGAATGCATTTCCAACCTTATTTAAACCTTTTTGGGAGTGAAATCATGATTAGGAACCATTAAAAAGGGTTGTGAATCACTAAAACAAAATGCATATGATATGAATGAATTATTTATCGAATACTTGTGCAATATGTTTGGTGTAGGTCATGTGCCGGAGGAAACGCCGCCAGATGAATCATCACTGTGAGTAATAATACCATATTTATATGTTTGTTATTGTGCACCTCGAATCACGAACGGTGATTGGTGCCGACATTGTGATTTTTTTGAAATGAGGATCCTCATTAATATTATATGACATGTGCAACGTTGGGCCTGAGGCCATTTTGATACACATTGGGCCCGAGGCCGTTTTGATATATGATTGGGCCCGAGGCCGTTTTGATATATGATTGGGGCCGAGGCCGTTTTGAAATATGATTGGGCCTGAGGCCGTTTTGTTATATATAAGGCTCGAGGCAGTTTTGAAATATGATTGGGCCCAAGGCTGTTTTTTTATATGTTGGGCCCGAGGTTGTTTTGAAGTATGATTAGGCTTAAGGTCGTTTTGTTTATACGATTTTGAATATTGTGAGAATCTTATGACTATCTATTTATACTATTTTATTGTATTGTTACTCATTAAGCTTTGCTCACCTAATTTTATGTATGTACATGTAGGTAATTTGCAGCATGGAGCACACCTCTAGAATCAGCTTCAGGAGCCATCCTTTTCGAGACCCAATCGAGTCATGTCTCCGAGATGGAGTTTTGTCTTAACTCACATCATACTTGTTCCTTACTTTGTTTTGCTAATGTGGTCTTGGGTTTGTAAACATTATGTACAAATTTTTTTCCGATACTTATATTCTTTTTGCATGGGCATATAAATGATGTGGATGTGTTACATTTTTCTCATATTGGTATAGCTCAATGGACTCATTCTTTTGTTGTGTACTTTCGCTTTTGGCCCCATTATTATAATTACTCTGTATGTTTGTTTGAGGCCAAAGGTAATCAAGTGATTATCGGTCGGTTATGACCCAAACTTTTAGGGGCGGGTTCGGGTCATGACAGAGTGGTATCAGAGCACTAGTTAATATCTTACACACGAGTCCATGCGAGCAATAAGAAGTCTAGGAAGAGTTTAAGTTGCATCCATAATGCATCCATAATCAAGTATGACATGAAAATGTGCATTTGTAAATGTGAATAATGTGTTTATTATTTGGGAAAGTTATAATGTGTGCTTCTCTAGATCATGGTGAGAACAAGGGCAGAGGATAGAGAGGACTCAACCTTCGCACGACTTGATAGAATGGAGACAATGATCATGGACATGGCGGAGGCCTTTAGACAACAACAACAATAACAACCACTGCCATGAATGTCTGTGCCACCACCTATAGTGCAAGACCACCAGGCCGACGACCGAACTATTGCTCTCACAAAAGAATTTAAGAAGATGAAGCCACCCTTGTTCAAAGGAGGAATTGATCCATTAAAGGAGGAGGCTTTGGTGCTTGGTATCAAGAAATTATTTGAAGTCTTTCTATACATGGAGGCACAAAAAGTCTTGCTAGTTGCTTTTACACTAGAGGATGAGGCGCGCCGTTGGTGGATGCTTATTTGAGGAGAGCATCAAGGGATGAATTGGGCTCAATTTTTGGAGATCTTCTATGAGAAGTACTTCCCACAGTGTATCCGAGATAGGAAGGTGTCGGAGTTTGAAAACTTGAAGTAAGGGAACAAGACCGTAGCAGGGTATGATGCGCAATTTACCGAATTAGCCTGTTTCACACCGTACATGGTCAATACGGACTACAAGAAGGCAAGGAAATTTGATGGAGGTCTCTGAGACTCCATTATTGAGAAGATTAATGTATTGCAGGTGCAAAAATATGTGGATGTATTGGATAAGGCCATCATAGTGGAAAGTAAACAAGCTAACCGAAACCAGTACTCGGATTGGAAGGGCAAAAGGCAAGGCTCCAATGTGCACAAAGGGTCGGCGTCCTCAAAAAGTAAGAAGCAAAATTTGGGAACTTCCAACACTTTGGGTTCTACCCGTGATTCGGCACCAGCTTGCCTGGAGTGTGGAAAGAAGCACCGGGGGGTTTGCTGTTGAGCATCAGGAGCTTGCTTTAATTGTGGAAAGACGAGGCATATGGTGAGAGATTGTCCTATGTTTGGGCAATGGGAAGGGAATAGGCCAACTGCTAGTTCAGCCGGTTCCACTCATGCAACAAAGACCCTGACAAGGCCTACTACTTCTAGAGACAATGTTAGGAAAGGGAGAGTCTTTGCTCTTGTTTCGGGCGATGTCCAAAATTCAGACGCTGTGGTATCAGGTACGCTTTCCATCAATGGCCAACCTGCTCATGTGTTACTTGATTCGGGTTCCACCTATTCCTTTGTTTCGAAAACATTTGCTTCTAATTTGAATAGATTATGGAACCCTTGAATTATGTGTTGTGCGTGTCTTTTCCATCCGGGGACTATATGTTATGTGCTTCTATGTATCCTGCATGTGAGCTTTTACTTGGAGATATACCATTATGTGCTAATTTGATGCCTCTTGATATGATACACTTTGATATAATTTTGGGAATGGATTGGTTATCTAAGTATCATGCAACCATCGATTGTGTATCTAAGCAAGTTGTGTTTCGCCCACCGGGTCAAGATGAGTTTACTTTTGTGGGACGTGGGGTGGTCCTTCCACCCTATTTGATATCGGCCATGAAAGCTTGTAAACTATTTCAGAAGGGTTGTAGGGGTTATTTGTGTACCATTTTGCATGCAGAGACAACTGAGATGGGTGTTGAAAATATTTAGATTGTTAGTGAGTTTCTGGATGTATTTCCCAAAGAATTTCCAAGGGACTTGATAGATCATGAGATTGAATTTGTCATTGATATTGTACCGGGTACTCAACCTATTTCTAAGGCTCCGTATAGAATGTCTCCGGTAGAAATGAAGGAATTGAAAATACAGTTGCAAGAACTACTTGACAAAGGATTCATTCGACTGAGTACATCGCCGTGGGGTTCACCCGTTGTGTTTGTGAAGAAGAAGGATGAGACCCTTTGATTGTGTATTGATTACTGAAAACTTAATAAGGTAACGGTGAAGAATAAATATCCTTTATCACGGATTGATGATTTGTTTGACCAATTACAGGGGTGCAAGTGTTTTCAAAAATCGACTTGAGATCTGGGTACCATCAATTGAAAGTCAAAGCAAAGGATGATGAGAAGACCACCCTCTGAACTAGGTACAACCATTATGAAGTTTTACTCATGCCATTTGGGGTTATGAATGCATCGGCAGCTTTTATGGATTTAATGAATTGGGTTTTGAAATCGTACTTGGATGAGTTTGTGGTGGTATTCATTAATGACATTCTTATTTATTTGAAGAGTAGGGAGGAACATGAAAGGCACTTGAGATTAATTCTTCAAACAATTATGGACAAGAAGTTATATGCTAAATTGAAGAATTGTGAATTTTGGTAGAATGAAGTTGTGTTTTTTTGGCATGTAATTAAAGACACGACTCACAGCAGCACCGATCCTTTCCTTACTATCGGGTACAGAAGGGTTTGTGATTTATAGTGATGCATCTCATAAAGGTTTGGGGTGTGTGCTTATGCAGAATGGAAGAGTAATTGCTTATGCATCTCGACAGTTGAAGCCACATGAAAAGAATTACCCTACGCATGATTTGGAATTAGCTGCTGTGGTGTTTGCATTGAAGATTTGGCGGCATTATCTTTATGGAACAATATGTGAAGTCTACACCGACCACAAGAGCCTCAAGTATTTCTTTACTCAAAAGGAGCTTAATATGCGACAAAGACAGTGGCTAGAACTCATCAAGGATTATGTGTCATGACCTGAACCCGCCCCTATGGATTACGGTCATAACCGGCCAGTAATCAAGAGATTACCTATGGCCTCAAACTAGATTAAACATCATGTAACAGAGTAAAGGGGCCAAAACGGAAGCAACTAAAATAATTTTGTCTATAGAGCTATGCTTATAAGGCACATCAAGACATTTTACATATGCTCATTAATAACCCACACCAAAAGGAAGATAACATGGAATCTTACACATACAGGATCATTCAAGTCATAGTAAACCAAACCAAAAGCTTATGTACATGGTGATCTTAACATTTTCACTAAAGTAACAAAAGAAAGACAAAAGAAACAAACAAGTCTCGTTTGACTTTTCTCACATACTTCATCGAGGTTGGGTTTGAACATCTCTTTGCTCACCTACATACACATGAATGAGAGTGAGCGAAAGCCTAGTAAATAATATCAAGTAAAGAAGATACATGAATAAAATTTGAAACAGATATATATATATATATATAACAGACGGCCTTGGGCCCATTTATGGTTCTATCTATTACATTAGATGGCTACAAACCCAGACGTATCAAACGGCCTCTGGCTCACTTTATCTTTAACAGATAGCCTCGAGCCCAATTCATTCATGTCAAACAGCCTTTGGCCCAATCATTCATGTCCAACGGCCTTTGGCCCAATCATTCATGTTCGACGGCCTTTGGCCCAATCATTCATGTCCAACGGCCTTTGGCCCAATCATTCATGTTCGACGGCCTTTGGCCAAATCATTCATGTCCAACGACCTTTGGCCCAACCAATCATATCCGACGGTCTTTGGCCCAATCAATCATATCCGACGGCCTTTGGCCTAATCATTCATATCCGACGGCCTTTGGCCCAATCATTCATGTCCAACGGCCTTTGGCCCGATCAATCATATCCGACGGGCTTTGGCCCAATCACATGGCATAACGATTATTTGTCCATAATTCAAATTAACAAACTTATGCAACTCAAATAGGAGTAAGTAATAGGACAAATAGTATACTTCAAAATATCTTTACTAAGATATGACTCACAGTGTTCTGCCTGTGGATTCGTCCTTGTGCTCGACCCTACATAAATCATAACACATATCAATTCACAAGCTATTCAATCCGTTCTTAACTTATACACTCCTCTTAGGCCTCTTTCTCTTATCTTCTTAATCTATTCACAATGCTCAATGTATGCCTACGAGTGCTTAGAAATGAAAGAGAACGGAAAATGAAACACAAAACATCCCTTCAAAATTTTTGAAACAGGGCTCCCCGCTCGAGCGTGGCTTTCGCCGCTCGAGCGGACCCCTTTGGTCTGCAAAAAGTACTGATTGCCTCATTTTAGCACTCGAGCGTGGCTTCGGATGCTCAAGCTGAGAGTCGAAACATGTGACTGGGCGCTCGAGCGTGACTCTTCCCGCTCGAGCGGACATCAATGTCTGCAAAAGTTCTGGGAGCTAGAATTGCACGCTTGAGTGGCTCTTTTCCCGCTCGAGCGGACCTGACGAATTCTGAAATTTCCAGAATTGTTCTTGAAGCTCAAACTTGATATTCAAAGGGTCCAAAGCTCATATTTTAAGTTCAAAAACATGGAAACACATTATATAACATGAAGACATAAGCAATATGAGACCAATTGTTCAAAATCATGGTTCATTTCCAAAATCATTTTGAATTCTCTTCATAAGTTTCAAAACTCACGCATTAAGCGTCATACAAGCTTCATATTTTCATCAATCGTGTATGCATGTTAATTTTTGACTCCAATTCTATTTCAAATGGTACAAGTGATGTTTATACTCATGAAGCTCAACAAAACCATGCTTGC